GAAGAGCTATGTATTTACCAATGCTCCTTTTTTTTCAAAGTCCACAGGGTAATGTTCTTTGTCATATGTGTAAAGCAGTAGGGACTTTCCATTGGCAGGAAGAAGGGAGCATAGGTTGGTGGCTAAGACTCAGGAGTGGCAACTTGGAGATATGGGCTCTATTAACCTGCTGGCACTACTGTGCTGATTCATAATTATGGGTAGATCTCAATTCCCTGCAATTTTTTTTTCCCCCTAAATGTGCTGGTAAAAGCTGAAAATGAACACTGAAAGACAACGTTGTCAAAGAGACCTCAGCAGAAAAGGGACCTTTGCAGAAAAGAGTAATATTGTGCAACATTTATCTGTGATGATGTGACTAGTTCCCCAAAGGCATGAGGAGGTGCAGTGTTTACAGCAAAGCTCAGTCAGTAACAGTGCCCCTAAGGGAATCATGGCTACTTCTGCCAAATATGCCTTGTTTCAAGACTTTTTCTTCTTTCTTTCTTCTTTCTTATCTTAGCAGCTTTGAGATCCTTAAATTTCATTTTCATAGTTTAATTTTAAAAAGCAACATAAAATGTCCATCAGAATAGAAGGCAGCGTGCCACTAAGTTGCATGGATGACCGTAAGCAAATTAGTAGCTCAGGATATTGAAGAATGAGAGGAATGCGCCAAAGTCACAGATCATAAAATTTGCTGTAGTCAGTCATGATCTTCCACTTTCACACATTTCCCTCATCCTTCTGTATGTTGATCTGCTGTCTTTCTTTGTGGTATTTTGTGAAATGACCATGCATCTCAGTTTTCCTTGGACGGTCCTCTTTTCCCTTGCTTGTTTTGTTGATCCTGGGACTCAACAATTGCCTGCACTATCGTTTCTTTAACACATCTCATTTTTAATATCTCAAAGGCATTGACTCAAGTCCTGTGGCCGCACTGAGGAAAAAATTGCTCCTCTTACTAAGAAAAGCCTAGTGGAAAGGGTATTTCACGAAGGGAACACAGGTTTGGAGTGAGGGAAAAAAGTCAAGTGAGTGCAAACACCAATCGAGGCTGTCTCTTGCTCAGAATGAGTATTAAGAAAACTTGCTCAGTGGGTCATGATGAGCTCATTCAGTCCACTAGATTACTGGAAAAATCTTCCACTTTGAGAAGTATGCATGTGTCTGTTGAGTCAGAACCTGACATAGCAGCTTCGACACACATTTTTGTTATAAAAAAGTCCCCTTTGCCTTTTGCAACTCTAAAAATACTTTGGCCTGAATATTCTCTGTGCTTTATATTTTTTGTGTAGAAAGTGTGGGCACTGTAGTGTTGCATTTTGTTTGGAATGGGATATCTTTGGGCCTGGGATGGGTCCATTTTCCTACCTATAGCACTTTTGTTTGGTACTGTGCATCGTTCTATTTGCTGTCCAACTGTTTTTTATTTAGTATACAGATAATAGTGTATGAAAAAGTTGCAAGAGCACACCTGCACATGCTCATACAGAGAGATCACATTTTGAGAAGCCTGCTGTAAGCATAACAAACTTTTCTGCTGAACTTCTTGGTGTATTTTCAATGTACAGCTATTGTATAATGAATCCAGCCTGCACTATGGAGGCCTTAGAGAAAACAACAGATTCTGTAAAACTGAGAAAACGCAGTCACAGACACCACAAAACTATGCTAGAACGGGCACAGTAGTTGTGGGGAGGGGTCATGGTCAAATATGCAGTATCAAGCAAAATCTGAGATGAGGATGTATGTGTTCGTAGCCACCGGAAGAATGTTATCTTAGTCAGAATCGTGCAACATGAAGAGAAACATGTACAGTAAGTCCTCCTGATTGCTGTTTCCAGCATAGTTTTTCCTGCTCTGAAATGACTTGCATATATTTTTGTATTGCTGATTTACAGTATGGTAGCATCTGTGCTCTGGCTTTGTTGATGGAAACCTGGAGGTTCTCTAAACTGTATGAGACATACCTCTGTCACAAAGTTAACCTCCCTGTGCCTCTTTCAGAGACAGAGACAGACAGAGAGAAAGGGAGAAAAAAATGTCCTGCTGACGTCAATAAAGACCACACTCTACTGGATAGTATTACTGTGTACCTCAACCACCCACTCCCTTTAATTTACTAGAAACTAAGCAAGCTGTTTTGAAACCCATAGCTTCCAGTGTGTTTGCACTGTTCTCCCTCAACCAAAGGCTATTAATTGTCAGGAGCTTGAAAGCTACCTGATTCCTTGTTCAAAGGACTGAAACAGAGGGGATTTCCATGAGTAATAATTTCAGTCTGTGCCTGTGCAGTGCACCGTAGGCTAGAGTAAATTGATCCAGCTGCTTGCAAGACTAAATGGAAAAGTGCCCGGGGGGGGGGGCCAGGAACAAATCCGCAGATGGGGCTGGATTCTGTTGTCATCACGTGGTGCCTCCGTCTGCCGGGCATGCTCGAGCTTGATTTCCACCCTGAGCGGGGAGCGCTCAGCCTTCCTGTCTGTGCTGACTTGCAGCGTGAGGCAAATTCTCCAGCACATGTTGCAACTTCTCTGGTAATAAAAGGGATAATTTTAGAGTAGCCAGAAATGCCTTGTTCTTTTTTTTCTCTCCTCCCTCCTCAATGTCCTCACCACGCTGGCCTGAGTATTTTGTGCATTTGTTTTGCTCTGCAGCAATCTTCCCTGTGACAGAGACTATAAAAGCTTCTGAGAGCCCAGCTACCTCTACAAATAATCAAAATTGGCAGGATTAACCTATAACCCGAGGCGGTGAAAATACAGATTCCACTAGCCAGATGGCAGAGTTCAAAGATCCAGTCACTTCCTGGCTGAGGTTGCACAAGTTAATTTTTATTCGTGTTAAAAAGAAATAAGAAGTGAAAACATAGCAATAAAATGTGTGTTGGTTGTTATCTCTGGTTTTAATCACATTTATTTGATTCCTCTGTGTTTTGTTATTAAGTAAGTTTTGGAGATGTTATGAAAATACATTCTCTTCTGGAGATGTTTAAATCCTACTTGGTGTCTTTGTTATTTTGCTGGTATGTTTGTATGATCAATTCAATTTAGTCCATTGGAAGAGGAGCACTAAATAGGAGGAATTAAATAAAATAGCAGGACTGCAGCGCATTTATTTTTTTAAATGAGCAAGTCAATTGAAATCACTGAAAAACTGCACACAAAGCGACAGTGCTCTGGATTCAGGGGCCAGTTTCTTGAGGGAGATCCAGTGGCTGGTGGTATGGCCAGGGCCTCCCTGTTCAAATCCAGCAGTTTGCTGGCCACCAGTTGGACTCAGAGGCTTCTGCCAGTTTGTGCACCGCCTGAGCCAGAGCTTTCAGGTCGGTGCATAGAGGGAAGAGATCCTCGTCGCAAAGGAGGAGCAAAGCTGCTGCGGAGGCCGTCGGCGCAACGACGACGTTGCTTCTTTCCTAGAGAGTGCAGAGGTGAGGCACGGGGGGCGCGCTGGCTCTGCGTGCTGGCCCCCTACATCCGTGCTGTGGGTAATCAGCAACGTGTGGAGGCTTTTGCTTGCAGCTGAAAAGCAGCTTGCCCTGGATGAGAAAGTCATTTTACAAAGGGGCACACTGGAGCTGAGACACGGGAAAGGGTTTGTGCGAGGAGAGCCAGCACGGGGAGCAGAACTGAGATGCCCCCGTGCAGGACCCAGCACACCACAACTCCTGCCGCTGGGCTGGCGAGCGAGCGCTCTTCACAAACTTCACATCCCCTTGATCTCTTTACCTTTTATACTAATTCTCTCTAACAAAAAACATGTATTTGGACAGTGTTGCAGCAAAGGACATTATCACATCTTTAGTGAATCAGTGCTAATAAGTCTATTGGAGCAAGAGGATCAGAGTATGTTGATCTGAAAGCAGTTCATGGTTGTTCTTTCTTTGGCCCCCAATGTCTGTTTTTCTTTGTAAGCTATGTGTTAATTGTGAGAAGAAAGACTGTAAAGCATGAGGTTTAGATAAGTGCCTATGAGCAATATTATCATGTGGATGTCATGAAGTGTATATAAAGGTTTAGCTAATAGATTACAGAAGCAGGAGTTGAAGAATAAAGTTCATCAGTTGTTTTTGTGATGGCTTGTCCTCGCAGGCTGGGCCATTAATGAAAACAGAAGTAGAGCTGTTGGCAGCGTTTCTGAGGAGACTGCAGGTACACTTCAGGAGAGCAGCGCTGGGACTTCCAAGCAGGGAGTTTATGATTAATTTTGCAGGCATTTATTGTGCAATATGAAATGGCCACTGGCCAGCTCAGAAGTTAAGCCAGAAGATGACTGTCAAATGAAACTGTTACGTTTGGCAGATCTTTGCAAAGCTGCTGTGCAAAACAGACATATTGAAGCTAATTTCTGGATTTTCCAGATCCTCTCTGCAGCGTAGTCTTGTATTGCAATCTTCTTTGTTTTCCCCTTCTCAGGAGAAGAATTAGTTCTGACTTGTACACTGTAGAAATTTTAGGTCAGGATTTTTACTACAGGCAGGCTACTCCATGCCTTACGTTTACTAGCAAATCTCTTTTTCTGGTAATTCCTTCTTTAATAATCTTACCAGGAACTAGCTCTGCTTCATTTTGTTTTCTGAAAACAAAACCACATTTTCTATGAAAAGCCTTTTTAGCTTAGAGAAAGGTGAGGGGATTTAAATGGTGGCGGTGAGAAATCAGCCCTGCCTCTGCAAGCAGATTGCATTTGAAGTTTTCCTCTTGTGTGGCTTACCCTAAGTTAAGGTCAGTCAGTTAACTGTGTTTGGACACCGTCTGGCATGAATACTTCGATGATAAAGCTTAATGTGTAACCAAGGTTTTTTTCTTCTGTGTCAGCAGTTGGCAAGAAGATACTGTAAATAAGGATCCCTGTGAGTAAATAGATATGTGTGGAGAGGGGAGGGGAGCACTGGAGTAAGCAGTTTTGAAATTCATGCCAGTGTTGCTTCAAGTGATAAGGTTATTTGAGTAACCTGCAAACCATACGGATGCACAGGTTTCAAAAACAGGAAAGCGTCTTGTTTAAAAACCTTCTAAGGCAACACAAGGGCTTAGAAAAGAAACTGGCTATGTGGTTAAGTGATTGTACTTCCTTATTGATATGATGATTGAGCCGATGCAAAGCCTCACGGGATTGTGATGCTGCGAACCGCAAGCCGAGCAGTTATGATGACAAAGTTCTGCAACCGGCCCTGGGGCTTTCTGGAGAGATGAGAAATCTCAAAGTTTCCCTTTTCATTTCCTCTTGTGTGAGTCTGAATATTTTTTTTCCTCACTCTCTTTTTCAGTAATATAGTAAAAATAAGTAAATAATACCAGCGGGCTAATAGCCTCAGAGGAAGCACAGCTTTTGAGTTTGCCCTCTCGCAAATTCCTGCCGGATCCCGCCCCCACTGCCGGTGGGCCCTCCGGCAGGACGTGCCGGGCAGACTTGCCAAGCGTGTGCTGCTCCGGATGCCTCGCTCTGTGCCCTGCCAAGGGAGCGCCTTAAAAGGGGTGCCTTTGGGAGGGCAAGGTGCAGCGCGTTCTGCAAATTACACTTTCCTGAGGGCTTTAAACTTGGACGCCCAGAATTTGCTGATGCCTCTGGAAATCCTGGTGGCTACGTTTCTCCACAGATAAAACAAAGCCACGTACTTTCTGTTTGACCTTTGTTTTGGATGAAGAAAAACAGCGCATGAGAGCTGAAGTTCAGTTTCCATGGGAGAAAGACATGCATATGCGCGGGGGGGGTGCACGTGACCGCGTGGACGCACACGTGCGTTCCTGAACACAGTGTGACCCCTGCTTGCACTGGCACCCGGCTCCTCGGGGATTTACAGAGTAGGTACCTAGAAAACAAAAGTCTTTGTTACCTGAAATGACATAGCTGAAACAGTTCCAGAACGTTCAGGTACTGTTTATTAAAAGTGGGTAAAAGTGCAAAGCTGGGAGCCAGGCTTTATCTTTCTCAGCGTGTGTGGTTTCCAGCTCAGGCTGAGCTTACTCCCCTTGGGTTTGGTTACATCCATTCCTTGAGCACTTAGGGTAGGGAAGGGGCTGAAGCGGCCCCTTTGCACACAGATGGCTCCTCTCCTCGAGGAGGGGGACGGGGTAGCTCAGCCTCATCCGCACGTCTCCTCCTCACCCTGCTTGCCTTGCAGGACGTGGACGTGGCTTTCACTCACCGGCTGCAGGCTGCTGCACCAGCCACCGTGAAGTTACAGCAGGGATGGATGGGGCCCACAGTGTCCTCGAGTACTGCCTTTTGATTACAATTCAGCCATGTCCATGGCCTCTTGGTCAGCTTACTGAGAGAAAACATTTTTAAAAACTTTAGGAAATCAACCTAACCGGAGTTGGAGCAAAGTTTTTTGGCTAGAAATTCAGGCTCCAGCCAACAGGGCAGACTTTTGCCAGCTCATTGCCTTGGTCCTAGAAGCCAGCAATGAAAGGAGAGCATGAAAAAAGAATTGCCTCCGTTGCCCATTAGATTTAATTGTGCTTTTTTGTAAGCCTCATAAATCCTGCCCAAATCACGTCATCAAGCCACAGGGAAACTGAAACCTTGCCCAAGGCAGGAGCCAGCAGAGCTGTTCAGACTAGAAGGGTTACATTCAGGGACAAGTTCAATGCACTGCAATATTGTTTTGAATGAGATTTGTTTGCCGGTGTGTGGTGAGAGAGACCTCAGTGTCAGAGACAAGAAGGAGGTAGGGAAGGAAGGGTAGGTGGGCTTTCATAGCAGAACTGAGTGTGAGCTGTGCTTTTTTCCTCTTTGAATATCAGAAAAGTTAAAAGGGGAGGACCGGCATGACTCTAGGCAAAACAGACGTACTCCCCTCTGCCCCCAAAGAGGCCTTCAAAGCGCTTTTCCTCTTGAGCTCCAGGGAAGGAGAGCAGGAAGGGAGGAACATGGATTTGCACCAGAAAGGGCCCTTTTGAGCATTTTGTTTTTTCCTTTGGGCATCAGATAGACGGAGGGAGGAGGATTAAAAAAGACAGACATCTAAACTGAACTCTTGAAGATTTTTTTTTTCCCCTTTCTCTATTGTGGTGATTTATTACAAAATTTTTGCATCTGATTACCAGCCAGGAAGGGAGAAGAGACTTTCAGTTCAGAGGAAGAGCCTCTTTCCAGTCGCTTACCGCTCATAAGGTCCCGCCGTGGCCGCCGGCCAGCGAAAACATCATCAGTATTTAAGGGGAGAAAAACTGCGTGTCTGGCTGCTGGCTGCCCAGAAATGGCTGCTGGTGTGTTCCCCGAGCGAAAGGGAAGTACACAGGAAGGGCAGAGGGTCACCCGCTCGCTGAGGCAGACAATGCAAACAGCATGTGCCGCGCGCTCTCGTTTCCATGAGTGCTCTGCAAATACCTCCCCGCCACCGGCTGCGGGGGAAACGTGCTCTTGCCAGACGATCGAGACAGGGCTGATGGCAAGCTTTGCAGCTCATTTTCAGCGAGACCTTCTGGGTAGCTTCACCCGAGCCTGCTCGTGAGGCAGAGGCTCGCTGGCTCCCCTTCGGCCGGGCTCTGCCAGGCGGTCCGCGGGCTGGGAGCTGCCGAGAAGTACGTGATCTCCCCCACCAGCGTGGGAGCCATCACGTGTCCGGGACTTTGGCAAAGCCTGGACAAAATGTGCTCACATCTGGATTTGGACCAGAATCAGCCATTTGAGCAATCTTTCCCTGTCAGGTACGGTTTCAGTAAGCACAGACTCATTTCCCACGCAGAGCCAAGCTTCCTTCTCGGTAACATTAGTAAAAAGCCGGGATATTTCTGCAAGCACATTTTCCTGGCTTTTCACCGGTGGGACTGAGAGCAATGTTTGGCCTGAAGTGGTGGTTGGCAGTGGACAAAGGCACATTCACTTTTCTGTGAAAGATTGGTGTCACTGCATGTCTAGCTGAGCACCACCCTTTGCCTCTGTGATAGGCAATCATGCAATGTTCTCCACAGCTGCTTTGTCTCTCCGCGCCTTGGGCAAAAGATAAAGCAACAATAGGAGGTTTTCATGGGTGCTGAGCTAAAACAAGCAGTGATTGTTCTCTCATTTAAGGACAGCAGCAGAAGCTGATAATATTTGCTGATTTTTGTTTGGCTCTTTTTCACCTTGTGCAGTAAAATATATGTGAAAGCCTAAGGGAATAAGGATCCCTCCTGCCAAGTGTCCCATGGAGCCCAGTCTGCTTTGCAAAGTCCTGGCATTCTGAACTTTGCATTTGGTTGGACTTTTTTTTGGAGTCATCATTAATGATGCTCTGCTTTGCTGCTGCAGAGGAATGCAGGTGTTTCCTCTGTTCCCACTGGTGTGCCCATATGCTGATTTCTGAAATGCTGGGGAGGTTGCTCATGTGCGTCACGTCGTGTTCAAGGAGGCATTTGAGGAAAACGTGGATGCAGTTCGGGCAGATGACCATGGAAATGGTGAATTTGCATGCACTTGCATGTAAGTGCAATGTAGGTAGGCAACGTGCTGCGTTTGCTTGAAATCTGGCCCATGCTTTTCCATTTGTGTTTTTTTAAGTTAAGGAAAGGCAAACAACTTGTTCCTTCATTTGATCTGTAATAACCTGAACTAGTTCCCTTGGAAAGCTTATTTATTCTCCTTGGCTGCTGAAGTAGATGCAGAATTTTGAGCATCCTGAGAAGAGTCGGTGTGCATATGGGATTCTTTGTTGCTGAAGCTGTTGTTGGACAATTTTGAGACTCATTTATATGGCTGTTTATATATTAAAATTCTTGGGTTGCCTGGAGCTATGGATAAGCACTCCTTCTTTGACATATCTCTAAATAAATACAGAGACACATTATTAATGGGAACAGCTTTAAAAGCAAACACCCAGAGATGCACTTACAATAAGGGGAAGAAAAACCAAGGTTACATCATCTTGCTAGAAGCCAGTTGCTTTCTTTTCTAAAATGTTTTTCTGTAGGACACAGATGAGTTTTTGACTCATTGAGTATATGAGTATCCAAAAAGTCTCATGGTTGTTCCAAAATTCTTTCAACAGCATCCCAAATGGCATAAACAGTTACAGTATTTTACTGTCCAGCATATCCTTTTTCCCAGATGGACTCCTGTTTGATAGGGAGCTTTGGGAAGGAGTATTTTTTTGGTTTTGGACAGCTGTGTCTCTGGTGAGGAACAAATCAGTCTTTTGGGGGCTTTTCAATCCACATCGCTCTACAGTCTCAGGAAGGGTGGTAGCTCTTCGTCTTGTCCTCTGGTTTGAATGCAAGTGTATATGTGGGCGAGCGCAGTGAGTCTGCAGGAGAAGACTAAAACCTACTGCTCCTTGGTGTCATACTGCTAATCCTTTAGGTCACTGGGCAGATACGTAGCTACGCAGGGCCTGGCACAGAAGAACATCTCTTAAATTTAGAGCTGCTTCCCAAACTGGAAGCTGCCAACTCCACTACTGCCCCTGCTGCACCTCTTCTCCGGAGAGTGGTGTTTTCTTCACTGTGCGTCCTCCTCCTCCCCCAGCCTGCTCAGCTTGGAGCCAGAAGTCCCCACCATGGTCTTGCTCATGGCCATGGTGTTCACTTCTCTACCCCACCGGCTACTGATGATTATTTATTTTGAACCTGAAGGCCCCAGATTCAAGTGGGACAGTGGTCTAAGGGAGGTTTTCCTGCCTGTTGTCCTTCCTCTGCGCAGTAGCTGAACAAGGTGTTCGCCCCTCATAGTTCTGCAACTCAGATTGAGACGAGGCAGCTCAAGCCCGTCTGCTCTCGATGGAGAAAGGACGATGCTTTTGCCACAGATCATCCCCCAAGCCAACAACTTGCAGTTTCCAGTGTAAGAATCACTGCCAGCTGCCTCTTTTAGGGAGCCAGTGACCTCTGCGCTCTGATTATTACACTCAACAAAAACAGTGTGATGACGTTTGGGATATGGGACCGAAAAGTTCCTGTCTGTCTTCCTTGCAGAGTCGTAGCTTTGAAACCCGACCGTTCTCTCCTAGGGCTGCTGATGGGAGGCTGCCAAACCTGTGGTTGGGGGAGCCCCAGCGAGGAGCCCAGAGCCGTGTCAGAGGAGGAGCCATGGAGCAGCCATCTGCACATGATTTTTGCAGGGTGCCTTGGAGGTGCTTGCAGCAGTTTTGTGCTTTCCTTTCTGTTACTGTGCTTAATGCGATTGCCATTACCCATTGCCCTAGCCTTGGAGAACAGCACCGTCTCCAAACAACTCTGCCTGTTCCAGCACATCCACTGACCCAAGCTCCCGTCCAGCAGCAATTTGGTTCCTATACTAGAAGCTTGT